GTTCTCAGTCGGAAAAGGGTGGCTTGTTCCCTTCAGGTTGGTGGAGAGTTCCTGCCTCAAGTGGAGGAGTTCCTATATCCTGGGGTCTTGTTCATGAGTGAGAGAAGGATGGAACGGGAGATTGACAGGCGGATCGTGCAGCTTGTGCAGTAATGTGGTTGATGTACCAGTCTGTCGTGGTGAAGAAGGAGCTGAGCTGTAAGGCGAAGCTCTCGATTTACTGGTTGATCTACGTTCCGACTCTCACCTATGGTCATGAGCTTTGGGTCATGACCGAAAGGGCAAGATCCCGGATACAGGCAGCCAAAATGAGCTTCCTCCGTAGGGTGGCCGGGCGCACCCTCAGAGACAGGGTGAAGAGCTAGGTCACCCGGGAGGAGCTCAGAGTAGAACCGCTGATCCTCCACATCGAGAGGAGCCAACTGAGGTTTCGGATGCCTCCTGGGCGCCTTCCTAGGGAGGTGTTCCGGGCATGTCGCACCGGGAGTAGGATGGATTTATGTGACTTAGCTGCTGTAATGTAGCAATTTCGAGTTTCAGGATTAATAAAGTATTCTAATAAATAAGTAGTTTGACATTTTGTGAAATATGTTTATTTTTTTTCTTGTTCACATGAGAATATCACATGTTTGTGTGCTAAATATAAAGCTGGAGTCCAGAGATGGTTAGCGTAGCTTAGCATAGACTAGAAACGGTCTCAAAGGTTTAAAAAAAAAAAGAATGATTTTTGCAGCACCTCTAAAGCTCAATGATTACCATGTCTTGTTTGGCTAATCTGTACAAAAACGGAAGCATAAAAATATTTATTTTAATCTTCTGGGGGGTTATACAACAATTTTTTGGCCAGGAGCAGTAACATACAGGAGTTTTGTCATCACTGTGAGCTTACCAGTCAATCAGCTTGACAATGACATATTTCAGCAGCGGATCTCATACAACCAGTGCCAGAGCCTCCTTGAGCAACCCAGAAATTGTGAGTTTTCAAGATTTCTGAGGTCATCTCATTTGGAAAAACATTTCCAAACCAGGATTACATGACACACATTTTTGCAGTGCCTCCTATTTTATGCACTATTCAAGTTTATTAAAATTGACCTTTATATTGTGCTAATATTTAAATAATTACTGCCTGAAAGGTGTGAAATCAATCTATAAACTTTGAAAAAAGATTGTGATAATATTAACTCTACGCCCTTTTTAAAGTACAACGATCCAAAACTACCAGTATGGTTCCATGAGTAACAGAGCTATAACAATAACACAGCCATCTAAGCCAGCTACTAAAACTAGAAGTGCTGTCACTAACAACTACAGCATCAGTCACATTCAGAGGAAGCAAGTAGTCGAGCCAACTCACACTGACAATTCAGCAGCTGCTTCTCTTTTACCTACAATAAGAGAGGAGAGGTGAGAGGAACACGAGGAAGTATGGGGAGGAGGGTTGGTTTGCATTCATAGTTAGACATAAGAGGTCTGAGATACTGGAGGACTGTAGGTCTCGCTACCTCTCTTGGATTTGAAGTACAGCACCAACACCACCACCAGCACAGACACCACCAGCAGACAGAAACCTCCGATCAACGCTTTCTTCCACAACGCCAGGTGCACTGTAAAGAGGGGGAATAATAAAAATGAATACAATGGGACATGATGACAAAAGTTGTTTAAGACGGAATGGCAGTGAAGCAAACTAAAAAAGCTGAAAAGTTAGGAATAAACCCCACAAAGGTCAAAGTAACAACCAAGCAACAACTTTACTTCATTTGTGCAAGGTTAACTGTGTTCCCTAGTTTAGTCTTTTGTCTTCAAATTCTGTGCAACTGACCTGTTGACTATAGCTGAAGTGTTGATGTTTTAGCCTGGCTAGGTGACCTTGTTAGCATGTTAAAGATAGCATTTAGCTCAAAGCACCACTGTGCCACACAGAGCTCTTGGCATGGCTGTAAACTCTTATTTTATGGACTTAAAACTCTGACTTTATGGAGACACAACACTCCTTGCCCTTATTTATATCATACACATTATAAGAGCTAACGTTACAGTGCAAACATTTTGTTCAGGCTGAATAAGAAACTGTAGCAGTGTATTTGATGGTAATGTAACAGGAGATGTAAGTGGATGCAAACAGGTGCAGACCTAGACTGAAGGGGATATGTGTCCATATGAGCTGAAAATATTTCAACATGAGTGTAAATCTATATCTGTCCCAAGGTGGTATGACTGTGACTCATGAAACAACACCAAGAAAAAGGAGAGGAGTCTAGGGGAGAACAGCAGAAAGTAAAGTACGAGACATCCTGGTAAGTTCTGAGATCGGTGTGAGTTTTACTGTGCATAAATACCCATTAGTCTCACCCTCTATGGTGACCATCTCACTGCGGACCACAGTGTTGGCGTGATTGATAGCCTCACAGTAGTACGTGCCACTGTGCTCTTTGGACAACCTGTGGACCTGGTAGTCCATGGTGTTTATGTTGGAAGTGTTGGTTAGCAATGGCTGTCTGTTGCCCAAACGGTACCACTTAAAGGTGATCGGTGGTGTGCCTTTAATACCACATATCAGGTAAAGATGATCTCCCTCAGAGATTTCTGTTAAGGTGGGGATGACGGTCAGAGACGCCCGTGACAGAGGTACTGGGAAAGAAAAAGGCGGAGGGAAAGAAGTGAGGTTAGTCACCACTGTAGCAATTATAAACTAATGTTTTATTAAAACATAACAAGAACATAATAAGTGATCTATAGTTAATGCAGTGAAGAAACATATTGCACTACTGTGAAAACAAAGCAGTCACATACTGTTTACATGTCATGTTCACTTTATGTTGAGCTTCTTTTTCTGTATTATGACTGCAAATGATGCATTTCTGAAATATTCCAATCACTCTGAGTGAACAGCCTATTGAACATTGCACATCTGGAATGTATGACAGCGAGTCTGAGACACGCTCCACCTTCTATCATCCTGCACTGAGGAATATAATGAGCTTCATATTGCAAAGGGACTGAAAAACATGGAGCACTGGATGCAGTTATGGCCTGCTTTATGTTTGTTTAATACTATTCTTCCCAGAGGCCTTTTGTGTATGGACCACCTTTACTTGTATTTTCCGTATATTTATACTTACTGTTGCCCTTCAGTTTGGGTTATGTTTTTCTTCATGTTTAACAAAAAAAGGGAACCTAATTAGACACCCTCATCACATTGTGGACTTCTCTACAGGAAAATTTTAACATTTTGGGAAATATGCTTATTTGCTTTCTTATCATGACTTAGTCGAAAAGACTGATACCACTACCGTGTCAGTAAGTTACAGCTAGCATCCAGTTAGACTATCATATTTTAGGAAAAGGAGAAAACAGCTAGTTTAGATTTGTCCGAAATTAATGCAGTCTCTGTACCAGCACCTTTAAAGCTCAGTAATCAAAACAGATGTGTAAACACATCAGCTGACCGTTTAGGAGGGGCTGTGGTCAGCAAAGCTAATATTAACTTAAGATTTAACAGACAACAGATGAGAGTGGGATCAATCTTGTCATCTAACTTTCAGTAAGAAAACAAATAACTGTTAAAGAAACTATTCATTTAAATACAGCTGTATTAAAATATGTTACAAGAGAATGCTTAAAATACTGTTGCTGAATGTGAAAAGTGCCCAAACCCAATGAAGTGGGAAGGTGTTTTTGCATTAATTATAATACAATAAAGGTCAGGAATGATAGCATGTACTATTATAAAGCTGATACAGTAATGTGCTTCAGTGACTCATCAGATCCACTGATTGATTCATTTACTGAACAGTGTTAATTAAGCACATTTAACATATTCATATAAAACAGAAACATAATTGTTTTGTATAATTACCTATGACAGTAGCGTTGATTTTTTTACTGAGCAGGTGTCCTCTGTGATTGTTCTTAGCCGCACACACGTACTTGTTAATTTCATCAGACTCGTTTATGGTGACGGTGAAGAGGGCTTGTTCAAAGGGCTGCTTGACACTGGTTGTGCTCAGTTGGGCGTTATCCTTCAGCAGGGTGTAGTTTATCGGCAGGCTGCCAGTGTCCGACTGACAGAGGATTTTGAAGGGCTGTCCTAGCACTGCCCTGCCAACCACGGAAATCTTTGGAGTGGATACAGAAACTAATGAGGGGGAAAAATAAATAAAACATAAATGAAACACAGTTAGGTCCATGCCGACAACATTTCATTTCTGTAGATGGTCACACTGCGGCTTGCATTAGAATCAGCAAGAAAAAAGGGCAAAACTCAGCTGAACAGAAATAACCAAATGAATAAAACGTATGGATGCCAGAGCAGGTGTGCACAGACTTTATGTTTTAAGCTAAGTCATATAGCCTTCCACCCCTTACAAGGCAACGCAAGAGTTGCTGATGTTTTCATCTGGACAGTATGATTAAACACTCAGTAAGTTTGTTGTCCTGATAGCTCCTAAGTGAACATGGTCATCATGTCTGGAGGGTCCACAGTGAACATTTAGCCAGACCTGTTTGTCACACAGCATTGTGATTTGGGTCACTTATCATAACAGGTGGTGATTAATTAAAGTAAAGACAACTTAGAATTACTCTTAACCATAGCCCCATGATGACACCATCCTCCATTTTATTACACTGTTGTGTGTGTTTTGTACTATTGTGACTTTTACATACAGCAACAAGAAAGAGTAATGGCACTGTTTGCAATTTCCTGGTTTTCTGCATAACTTTGTGGGTGTGCTCAATAAAGACATGAAAGATCATGACTGTTTGTGTTTTCTCAGCTTAGAAATATTGTGCTTGTTGATATTTGTAACTTTGGTGAAGATTAGATCACATTTTTATACAGAAACAGTGCCATTACTTTTCCTGTAAAAGTGACTCAGGCACATTCAGATCAATATGTAAACTAGCCGAACCATTTATGTAATGTGGTGCACGTCTGTCTTAAATTCACTTAAATTAATCTGTGTATTAAAATGTGCATGTGAAAAGGGAGTTACATTAGTTCACCTTTAGGACGCACAGTCAGGGTTTCACTGCGTTTCACGATGCCCCTGGCTCGAGCTACACAGGTATAGTTGAAATCATACGGCAGGGCCTTGCCAGTGAATACTCCTGCGCTTCTGGAGACCAGTAGATTTTCAGGCGGCTCCAGAGTGTAAGTCAGCTCTCTCCTATTGAGTCTTTCAGCAGCATAGCTCTCACTTTTGCAGGTGAGTGTCATATATTCCCTTTGAAAGACCTCGGCAGGCGACATGGTCAGAGTGGGGGCCGAAAAGAGCTCTGCAGAGAGATTTTAAGAACAAGTCATCATCTACACTGATATAACTTAGTAATGTATGTACCTATTTGTATGAAATCCCTATGCCAAGAGGGTGGAGTAAAAGACTGCCAAACAAGTAAAAAATAAATAGATATATAATGTTTTTCCTCTGATTTACAATCAGTTGATTAAAAAGAAAAGCTACCTCTATCTATCAGGTCAGCATTCCTCTGTTCACTCACCAGTCACTGAAATTTTCTCTGTGCTGACCTTTGCCACATTTCCAATCTCTGCTCTGCATTCAAATTCCCCAGGGTCCGTCACCAGTGCGACCAAGCTGTGGTTGACTTTGGTGGCTGCCGTGCTGAGAAGCTGGGTCCCCTGGCTCAGGTAGAGGTGGACACTTTCAGAGCTTTGCAGTGAGGTATTGATACTGCATGTGATTGTAAGATGGTCTCCTTCATAGATTTTGGACTGAGGGAAAATCTTCATAACTGGTGCGATGTTAAGCTCTAAGGAGACAAAATCAGTGACCAAAAATCCTAAAACAGGTATACTGCTTCATAGAAATTTGAAAACACCACTTACCTTGGACTGAAACAGTGACAGTGTTGCTTTTTTCGGAATTTAAAACTTCTGGCATTACGAAGACACTGTAGGTACAGTGAATTTTGTGGATGCCGGGGCGGCTGAGGTGAAACCTGGTTTCTAACAGGTTGGAGCTGGCCTGATTCTCCAGGATTACATTGGAGTCCTCATAGAAGTAGAAGTAAATGGAACCTGTCTCGCCGGGTGCCCTACAGGTGGCTGTTACCTCCCCCTGCTCACTAACCACAACGTTGGGAGTATGGAGAACTGGTTTTGACAGGCCTGGAAAACCAACATTTAAAAAAAATGTCAGCAGATTTATTCTGATAGAGCTTGAAAAAACAAGGCAGATGACTCTGAAACAGTGCAATCTTCGACCAGTGTTCAAGAACCATCATTTACTGTAAAGTTTAAAATTGTTTCTCAATCATGCAAACATGGGATTTAGCATCATGCCTGAGTTAGTTACATTACTGTGGCTAAGGATTATTAATTTTGTAAAGGCAACAATCTCAAGGATCACTGGAATTCCTCTATCAAATCCCATCAAAAGTGAAGACATTATTGGGAGTATCTCACCGACAGATGTTTAACATTTTAATTCCACTGCTTGAAATTAAAATGACAATTGTAACCAATCTACTTGATCTGAACACATTCAAATGAACCTCATCAGACCAACCTGTTACTGTGAGTTTTTTAACTTCGCTGGCCTGCTGTTTGCCCTCAATGTTGATCTCGCACTTGTATTTTCCGGTGTTGGAGACTCGGACATCAGGCAGTGGGTACAGAAGGTCCTCTGCGGTGCTGGAAGTCTTGGTGTAGACCTTCATGCTGTCTTTGTATATAGTGTACTCTCGACTCAGCGCCTCCCCTCCTGAGCTGCTGATGACAGCATTGCATCTCACAGTCACATTGGTGCCACGGGCCACTGCTGTACCGGGCTCAATGGTCAGGGTGACGTTTCTTATTGTGAATACTGGGGACACAATGGAATTCAAATAAAAAACTACGAGCAGGGTTGCTGTGTTCAGGTACATTACGGTCAGTTACAGAAACAGGCAGGTTTTACAGTTCCCCTAAAGAGTGACCGAAGACGTCACACACAAGTAATATCGCCCCTAACCCTGTCCCCAACCAATCAGAATCTTTGCCCCGCCCCCAACCCCACCCCACCCCTCCCACCCTTGCATCTGTAGAAAAAGATAACATACATCAGTTAGCTGTATATGATTGATAATAAAGATAACGGGTGTGTTCAGACAAACCGGTGTCTTATCAGCCATAGAGCCCAACCTCAATTTGTTCTTGATAGGTTTGAATGTTTCTTACTTGTTTGTAAAATGATCTATTTAAGAATGATGAGTGTGAAATAAAGGCCCAACAGCAACTCTGAAGATTATTGTACATTTATTTTCTGTACAAAAAGGAGCAGTCTCTACACAGAATGTCAACACAGTCTGAGGGGGAAACAAAGCTCAGTGAATAGAATATGACTGCACATCGTCTTATATTAAAACATACTGTATGTCCAAACAGTTAAGGGGAATACATTACCTTTTAAATCAAGAGCTCATCCCTTTGCCCCATTCGCTCACATAGCTATGAAACTGTTTTTCCATTTGTAACCATAGATAGCGTAGCACATGTTTTTGGCGATAAGAGAGCGCAGAACCGCTGTCCTATCAGCAGTGACAAAACGCGAGGCTTACAATGAGCCACATCTGTTTCAGCAGTCCCAAGGCATGCAAGCTTCACGGATTATAAAAGTAAAACAACAGCTGCAAATTCCATTGTAAATAGTGCCTGTTTAAAGAGTGTTTTGAGGGTGTGCAGACACGTACATCAACACGGATCCAAGGAAATCCCTTAGTGTGTTATAATTTAGTCCCCCTCACCAGGAGGGTGAGGGAGAACCGAGGTAGGACTCAAGATTGCTGACCCAGGTGCTAGTGAAAAAGGTTAATAGTGGGAATTACAAAAGGAACAGAGTCAATGAACACATACAACCAGGGCTGGGCAAAGACGGCTAAGGAGACCAGGACGACCAGGGGAGTAGACAGGCTAACGGCAAAAACCATGAGAGTGGGAGGAACAGGACGGACAGGTGAATAAACAAACTACCCAGGAGGATTGGCAAACGAAAAAGAAAATCCCCAGCACAGGAACTGTCAGCATGGATACCAAAAAGAACATCTAGCTAACCTACTGGAAAAAACATAAAGAGATCCACAGCACAGGAACTGTCAGTGTGGACATCTAGAGATGTATAACACAAAACATATAACCAACGTACAAAATGCGATCCACAGGAACTGTCAGTGTGGAAAACAAAATGATGTACGTACAGTACATATCACAAATATAGGGAGGTTACAGGGTATGCAAGTTAATGCTCTGGAGATGACAGAGCATCTGCCAGAGGTATAAATAAGGAGGAAGGTAATCATCGAGATGCACCCCAGCTGTGTGCACCGACAAACGAGTCGCTAATTACTGAAATGCAACACAGCTGAGGTGCAGATCCCACAGGATCGAGAGAGCAGAGGAGAGAAAGGCGGAAGACAGGCAGGTCGCGCCGAGCGGACCTGACATAGTGATACACTGTGTGATGATATTTAGAAATTCACCCCAGTATCTCTAAGAATTATGTTCACATTGGGGGATTAGGCATTTCACACTTTTTGCTAAAGTAGCGTAGAAACACAAGATGCAATGGGCTGCTTAGTAAAACAAACAACAAAGTCAACAGATATGAATTTACTGACTTACACTTTCAGAGAATTTTGTTATCTCAGATGTCCACAGCAAACAGCAAGTGCTAGTAGCAGATTCAGTGTACTTACTGTGATGAAATGTAAACAAATAAAGGCTAAAAAAAAGGACTGATGCACACCACAGTGTAACTAACTGAATCCATGGCCATGTAATTCCTATTTCTTGTACATGGTAAGTTTCTATTTGTTCATTAAAGTGAAGACTATTAATGCTTAACCCAACATTATCCAAAAGATTTGATAAAATCACAGCATAGCATAATTGGTGTAAACTAACTAGGAGTCAGTGCAAGTCATTTGACTGACAGGTAGCAAATAATAATTTGGTATTGGAGGAGGGTGGAATGTATCTGTATTTGATTGGATTGCATCTGGAGCAGGTTTATTTAATGAACAGGTGTTTAACGTTTGTTCCATGTATCTGTGCTCGTGCTGATACCCGGTATTCTCTGAATTCGATTAGCCAAGCTACTTATTTTGAAAGGCCTGTTTTGTTAAATATAAGGATTCTGTTTTAATGTTTGTCAGCAGATAGAATATGTCAAATGTTATTCAGCAGTGGTTCGGCTACACGAGAGTGTGGCCCTACCTCTAAAATGTAGCATGACTCTAACACACTCAGTCACTTACAACTACCTACAGCCTGCCACATAATTCCTTTTCAGATTTTGTGCTCCCAAACATAAATCTAGTAACCACCAACTTACTGTAAACAAAGCTCAGTTTCATCATACTCAGTTGTTGACAGACAGGAGGGCTACAGGATTGGATTGCACACCCTAGACAGGACATTCACCCACCCACCCACCCACCTCCTTTGGTATGACCTTGGGAGCACAAAGAAAAGACAGGACTTCATGCTAGAGCCGTGTACAAAGAC